ATCAGGGGCAAAGTGGGAGAGAAGGGGAAGATGCAGAAAGGTCACTTAGGCCAGGGGTCAGGAGAAGCTGCCTAACCTCAAGCTGTCCTAGTACGAAAGAGGCTAACGCAAGAGGTACCAACCAAGCCGAGGCTGGATGACCTGGTCAGGGGGTCTGTCATGTTTTTCAGCTCTTGGATTCTTCTGAGTGACCTGAGACCCTACTTTCCCCCAGTGGATGACAGGACTTGGACCTAAGCACCATTTACCAAAAGCCTCCAGGAGAGGTGCTGAAATATACTGCCCTTCTCTCAGGAGAGAGGTGAGGGACCATGGATGCTGCATACACATCCAGGGAGATGCAGGGGAATGTCAGGAAGAGACAAAAGACTTTGGGGGAACCTAGCCTTCTTCTCTCAGCAGAGCTGGAAGGGGCAGAGCCGACTGCCTCTCCCCAGCTAAAACCTCCAGGTAGGAGACGAGATACGCTAAGGTAATGGGTGCATTTACACATTGTCCCACCTCCTTATTACACAAGTTGCCTCCCCCCTAATCAATGATCCCTTATTGCCCATGGACTGAACTACACCCTGGGATCCTTTCTTGATTTATTTATTTTTTTAAGTTTTTTAATTAACTTATTTTGATTTATCAACAATCACTTCCATATGCTTTTGAGTTTAAAATTTTGCTCTACCTTCCTCCCCACCACCCTCCCCAAGACAGTGCACAATCTGATATAGGCTATATATATACATTCTTATTGAACATACTTTCAGATTAGTGATGGTGTAAGTAAAAATTAGAACCAATAGGAGGAACCACCAGAAAGAGGAAACAAAACAACAGAAGAGAAAAAAAAATAGTAAATAGTATACTTTGATCTGCATTCAAATTCCATAGTTCTTTCTTTGGATGTGGATAGCATTTTCCATCATGAGGCTTTTGGAGACGTCTTAGATCCTTGTATTGCTGGGAAGGGTTAAGTTTATCAATATTAGTCATTGTACAATGTGGCTGTTATTGTGTACAACGTTCTCTTGGTTCTGCTCACTTCACTCAGCATCAGACCATACAAGTCTTTCCAGGTTTTTCTGAAGTCAGCCTGTTCATCATTTCTTATAGCACAATAGTATTCCATTACATTCATATACCACAACTTGCTCAGCCATTCCCTAATTGATGGGCATCCTCTCAATTTCCAATTCCTTGCCACCACAAAAAGAGCTGCTATGAATATTTTTGTACATGTGGATCCTTTTCCCATTTGTATAATCTCTTTGGAATATAGCCCTAGAAGTGCTATTGCTGGGTCAAAGGCTGTGCACATTTTTATAGCCCTTTGGGCATAGTTCCAAACTGCTCTCCAAAATGGTTGCATCATTTCACAACTCCACCAACAATGCATTAGTGTCCCAATTTTCCCACATCTTCTCCAACATTTATCATTTTCCTGTTTTGTCATGTTGGCCAATCTGATAGGTATGATGTGGTACCTCAGAGTTGTTTGGATTTGCATTTCTCTAATCAATAGTGATTTAGAGCATTTTTTCATATGACTATAGATAGCTTTAATTTCTTCATCTGAGAACTGCCTGTTCATATCCTTTGACCATTTCTCAATTGGGGAATGTCTTGATTTTTTAAAAATAATTTTCCCCCAATAGCTCAATTTAACTTTATTGCCAATTCAGAATTCTCTCTCTCCTCTTTTCCCTTGCCCCTCTCCTTACCTAAGCAGAAAGCAAGAAAAACAAAATGCATTACAAATATGTCTAGTCAAGCAAAATAAACTATCACATTAGCTAAGTCCACAAATACAAGCAGCTAGGGGCAGCTGGGTGGCATAGTGGAGAAAGAGCTGGCCTGGCGTTGGGAAGATCTGGGTTCAAATGTGACTTCAGACTCTTACCAGCTGTGTTACTCTGGGCAAATCACTCAACCCTGTTTGCCTCAGTTTCTTTATCTGTAAAATGAGCTGGAGAAGGAAATGGTAAACCGCTTCAGTATCTTTGCAAGGAAACCCCAAATGAGGTCATGAAGAGGCAGACCCAACTGAAAGAACCAAAAAAGAAAAAAGCAAGGGAAGAAAATCCATTTCAGTCAGCCTTCTAAGGCCAGCAGCTCTCTCAGGAGGTGGGCAGCATGTTTCATCACAAGTCTTTTGGAATTGTGGTGGATCATTGTCTTGATGGGTTACTAAGTCTTTCATATTATTACAATGTTGCTGTTACTGTATACAGTTTCTCCTGGTTCTGCTCACTTCACTTTGCATTAGCCCATGCAAGTCTTCCTAGATTTTTCTGAAAGCATCCTGCTCATCATTTCTTACAGCACAATAGTATGCCACCACAATCTTACACCACAACTTGTTCAGCCATTTCCCCAATTGATGGGCATCCCTTCAATTTCCAACTTTTTGCCACCACAAAAAGAGCTGCTCTATTTGTACACATATAGGTCCTTTTCCTTTGATCTTTTTGGGATACAGACCTAATATTACTGAGTCCAAGGGTATGCACAGCTTAATAGCTTCAGGTATATGGACTAGGTCTTTATAAAGGGAAGGAGAATACAAGGGGAATCTTCCCACCCTGCCAAGGAACAAAGCCAGCGCTGGTACCAGCCATTAGCTGCTACATGGGATTGTGGGGACTCTGTGGGCTCAGGAAAGAGGGTTGACTCTGGATGAGCCCAAGCACTATAAGACTGGAGGATGTGCAGCACCTTAAGGAAGGATTGCTGGATGCTTGGGCCACCATGAACTCTTTCCTTTTTCGACTATCTAAGTGCTGAGGATGTGAGACCCACTGGCAAAACTGTAACTAATGTGGGATCAAGAAGGCTTTGACTGGCAGGGTGCCAACATGGAGGCAGGCATGTTCCTCTTCTAAACCACCAACTTGGCTGTACATGGCACAGTCCTCAGCTGCCATCTGTATGAAGGGTTCCATTACCATGGCACCTCTCTCCTGGGCTATGTTTTACCTTGTTCAATGCCACACCCGTGGCTTAATGCCAGCCTCTTCTGGGGTATTAAAGATGTGTCATCAGCCTCTCCATAATGATAACCAAATCACCCTCTCCCCACAGTGCAACTGCACTTGTCTGGGGGCAGATTATACCAGGGATCCACTACAGACCTTCTGCAGGGGACTTGTGTGACACCTCTCCTCACAGTGGAACCCTGAGATCTCTCCCTTGGGACAGTGTCCTGGGTCGCTCCCTGCCTTGGGACTTTGTATCCAGCTCTGCCTCTCCAAAGGAATTTACACAAGACAGCGGGGCTCCTAGTTACCACTCTGCTCACTGGAGGGGCGGAGGAGAATTGTCTTATTACTTACTTTTTATAGGCTTGCCTAGGAGTCTCTTATGTGGTTTTTATTGATTTAAATGAAGTCAGTACTACATTAGGGGTCTCCAGACTGCTTGCTGAAGCTGAGGGGCCTTTCTTTTGTTGGGACCACCTAGGGCCCAGTCAAATCCTGAGGTTCCCAGGGAAAATCTCCGGTAAAGCAGGAACAGCACGTGACTGGAAAGAAGCCCCCAAGATTGAGCCCTGTCTCTGTAAACACAGAGCTTTGTTTCAGGTAGACTTGTGCTCCTGGTGCAGACCTTTTCTGGGCATGTCTCCCGTGACATGGGAGCCACGTTGATGCTAGGCCCTGCGGACCATGCGGGAAAGGCTCCGCCCCTCCACAGGTGCAGCAGTGGCACTGTCCCAGGCAGGCCCTTAGAGAGCCCTCCCCAGAGGAGGCCCTGCCCGGGCGCCTCATTAGTCCCAAGGCTCTGACCAGAATAGGTAGTCACCTTTTACAGGCAGGTGCCCAAGACAGGTAGCCACTCTTTCCCAGCACTCACTGGCTTGCGCACACTTATGAGGGACTATGTGCTTACGAGGGTCTATCTAAACTAGGCAGCTCATGGCACAGAAGGCATGGCCCCACCCACTCTTTGCTGCCCAATTAAATCAAACAGCACTGAAAAGAGCGCCACCTCTGCTCCATCTCCTAAGCTTGTGGGGCACAGGCAGAGGGGCCACCGAGAGTTAGCTGTGTCTTGGGCTTACTCGTACCCACAGCCTATGCCAGAAGCATCCTGCAGAGGCCCCAGGCCTCGTCTTGGCCCAGAGCCAAAGCCGGACGTTTGTGTGAACGGGACTAACACTCCCTGTGTTCTTCAGTTACTGAGGAGCCCCCAAGCTCACCCCATGTCTCTGTGCTGGACCCCGGGGGACTTGCCCTGACCGCCCAAGGCGCCGACCGGTTGCAAGGAGAGGCCTCTGCCTGTGGCCACTTGGTTTAATGGCGTTGGTTTAATGAAAATCGGAAATCTATTGCTATGTGAGTGCAGTGGGGCAGGAGCCGCCCGCCCCGCTCAGAAGTCACTGTGGAGGACGCTCCTTCTCATCTGCAGGCAGAGGACCTCATCGATGTAGATGGTATTCTCCTTCACCTGGATCTCCTCATGCAGCGAGAGCTGCCGGCGGCTCAGTCCTTTCAGCTCAGCCTCCGCTTGGGCCAACATGTCCTTTAGCCTGATGCAGAGAGAGCAGTCCAATACCGGACAGCCTCGGGCCAGCCGACCCAGAACCTCCACCCCCCACCAGTGCCAAGGCTAATGCAACCCAGATTCTCAGAGAAGGACCCCTGCTGCCACGGGGCCCAGGCCCCTTGTCTTTGCACACTGATAAGAAGACAGAAGAACCACAGAGGACGCTCGCCTTTCACGGCCTACCATGGAAAGAGGCCCAGCTCTGGCTCTCGCCAGCTGAGTGACCTGGAACAACACCCTCCAGCTCCCTGGGACTTAGGTCCCAGGTCACGGCCAAGGTGGGATCTCCCACCCAGGGGCCACGGTGCCTTTACCTGGGGGGCAGAGGGATAGCCTTCCTCTGGGCCACCACTCACCTTCCAACGTTGCTGGTGATCTCATGGACTTCCTTTATCAGGCGATACTGCACCACATCCCGGCACAGCTCCACATTGGGCCGATGGCTCCGAGACTGCAGGCGTGTCTGAGCCACTTTGGCAGGGCCCTCTTTGTCAAGGATGGCTTTATTTAAAGCTGCAATGTTGTTTTCCTGGGAGGTGATCTCATCCATCACCTGAGCGAGCCAAGGCAAGTGGGTGCATGAATCCCTGTCCAAGGTCTGCACCCAGCACCATGAGGCTCAGGGTCTAGCCTCCTCTTCAGACCCACTAAGGCTGCAGTTTCAGCAGAAGCCTTCCCCGTGGCCCAAGGTCCAAGCATGCTTCTGGCCCCTTCTCACTTCCCCTCCACTCTCATCCTTCTGACTGGGGTCTGCTCCAAAGCCCATGGTCCAAGTAGACCCACATCACACCCTCTCCTCCTTCTGACGAGTCTACTCCATAGCCCACGGTCCAAGCAGACCTCCACCCTTCTCCCCACACCACAGCCTCTCCTCCTTCTGCTGGGTCTGCTCCATAGCCCACGGTCCAAGCAGACCTCCAACCCTTCTCTCCACACCACACCCTCTCCTCCTCCTGGCTGGAACGCTCACTCATGCAGACTTGTCTACAAATGGGCTAGATCAGAAGCTACCATGGGTCTCTAAAGTCTGTTTCCTGATCCACCTGTCTCCAGCCTCTTCCTCTGCTACTCCCTCCCACCACACAAATCCTTGGTTCTAATCAGGCTGCACTTCCCATGTCCCACCTGGAGTCCCATCTCCATGTTTTGTGCAAGCAAAGCCCTCCTCAGTCTTCCCCCCTCATCTAAGTCTTACCTCTAGGCCCACCTGCTCCCTCTCCAAAGCCTCCTGCTGCCTCAGGCCTCTGTCTACACCGCTCATTTGGTACCCAGCACCTGCCTCCCCTCTGAGCAGAGTCCCTGACCATGGGGCCTGGCAGAAGCACCATGACCACATTACACTCTGTCTCCAGGGCTGAAGCCAGGATCCTGCACCCAACCCTCTGGAATGGTCACTACGTTCTAGACTGATAAAACGAAGCAGGAAGGGAATAAGTGTGTATCCTTGGCTATGGCTATGTGATTGGGGTGTGGCCTTGGAGTATCAGCTGCAGGGAGTTGGGACTCCCATGGACCAGAGAGCTCAGAGGGGTCTTTAGCTGAGCCCTGGAATGGAGGCTAGTGGAGGAGGGGAGAAGGCTGACAACTGGCCTAGGGGGCGTCTGAGGCCAGAGCCCAAGGAGGCTGCTCAGCTGACCACTGACCAGGGTGCTGAATGCAGACCTGAAGGGGGCAGATGCTTCTAGCTGGAGCCTCCGCATGTGGCAGGTGCACCTGGCACAGGAGGCATTCTTGAAAGGCATGTTAAACTGAGATGGGCCTAGGGGCTTGGGGGGCAGGGGCAGACTTAGCTTTGGACAAGTCCCCAGATTCTTCTGGACCTGCTCCTCCACAAATAGCACATGGGGCTGGATGAAAGGATGCCCGAGGGCCCTTTCGGCCTAAACCTGGAAGATCTGATGCTCCTGAGTAACTTCAAAGCATGCCCTGTAGGTTGTCTGTGTCTGGCCCAGGAAAGCAAGCCTTGGCCAGACTTAGATGGGATCCCGCCCCAACTTCCAACAAAAGCCACAACCAACAAGCAGAAGGTGACTGGCTGGCCCCCTTGCCCAATATGGCAGCTGCCCATTCTGCAGGCTGGATGCCAACGGTGCAGCCCCACCCCTGCCCCCGGCACTGCCACCCAAGCATCACCTTGGCAAGGTGCATAGCCAACTTATCCTTGGCATCTTTTGTTTCTTTGATCCGGTTTTGTAAAGCAAGGTTCACAGTCTCAAACTGTTTGCGCAGGTCATTGGCTGTCTGGGACAGAATTCTGTCGATCAAGGCCTCAAGAGCCAGCGTGTTGTTCCTCTGTTTATCTGCCTTCTCCACATTGACATTGGAGAAATCCACCCAGTCATCAACACTCACAGAGCTGAAAGAGAAGGTACAACCGGGACACTCCAGGAGGCCAAAGGCCAAAGGCCAGTGCCCATGACGCAGAGGCTGCTGCCTGCACGTGGAGGATCTTTGTACAAGGACGGGGACCAGACCAGACCAGGGCCTCTGGCTGGGGATGGACAATCTCCCTATGCAGAGAGCAGACCACCCTGCATCTCATGGGGACAGACCTCTCCTCATCACCTGCCAGATTGCCAGCTCCCCGAGGGCAGGACCTCAGCCTCACACACTCACCTAGGTGTCTCAGAAGCCAGGAACTTTACCCATAAGCTCTTTGAAATGTTTGTTGAATGAGTGAAAAAGAACTTAACCAGCGTCCCAGAGTCCCACCAATGCCCCAGGTCCAGAACAGGGCTGGGTCAACGTGGGATCAGGGGAACCGGGCCCTGGCCCACTTCAACAGCTGCTTTCTTGGACACCATTGGAATTTCTTTCACTCTCAACGGTCGTACAGGAGCCTTACTGGCCAAGCAACATGGACCCAGCTTTCTCCATGGTCTTTGGCAGCCACCGAGAAAGAAAGGACTTTTCCAAGAGAAGTCAACAAAGGCGCTGACTCGGAGCAGAGCTGGGCCCCATGCCTGGGTCCACAAGCTCATCCTGTCCCAAAGCATGTGCCGCATTGATCTGAGCTTATCCCACGCCCCAGCACAGCTGTCTTCTCTACCCTCTGCCCCAGCCCCAAATACCACTGGACTCAGAGCTCTGGCCTCTGAGGACACAGCCTCTCCTGCCATCCCAGACTGCCCCCTCCCAAGCTGCTAAGCTGGGCCCGCAGACCACAGCCTCTGTCTGGAGGGAGGGCCTCCTCTCGCACCCCTCTGCTTCCTGCACCCCTCCCCCTTTCCTTGCTGCTGGATCAGGGTTTTGCTGTTCATGGGTCCCTAAAGAGGAGACCTTCTCCCCTCCCAGCCTGCCTGCCCTGCCCCAAAGGAGTGGGGCTCAGCTGCTCAGGGCCTAAGGCCAGGGGTGGTTTGATAAACCACTTTTCTTTCACTTAGACCTCACAGTACAGTGGAGGGGAAGGGAAGGGGTGGGGGGTCAAGGCAGGCCTTTGGCCTTTGGTGTCTACAAAGAGCTGAGAAGAGTGAGACAAGCTGGAGGCAACAGGAGGCCTGAGGAAGCAAGAAGGTCGGCTCTCAGTGGAGGCCACGGCCTCACTTGGCCTGGCCCTGGGAACAGTGACCAAAGCAGAAATCCTGTGAGCTTAGGCTGGGGCGTAGCTGGGAGGGTTCTGGGAAGCAGCTGGGTCTACACCCACCAGGAACGTGAGAAGGAGAACCCAGATAGGGCAAGGAGGCAGTGCGGGTGGGGACTGCCTGCTCCCTGCAGAGGAGGTCAGCAGGGGAAATTCCAAAAGCTTCTCTCTAACCTGCACCCCCTGCCATTGGGGCCCTCCGTGGCCAGCCATCCCCACCAGCCTCGGCTGAGCCAGAACCAGGAATGGGTGCAGAAGGAAATCCCACCCTCTCTCCAGCACCGTGCCTCATATATGGAGCCCGCCCTGCCCCCCCCACCACGTACTTGGGCTCAATTCTGACAACATTACGGGCATAGCAGATATCAGGGTTGTTGTTGGTGAGTGAGGAACAGAAGTCATCGATGGTCAGAGCAACAAACTTGTCCTTCAGATCCTTCTCAAGGTGGTATTTAGCAGCTCGGTTCAACCTGGAAAAGCCCAGAACCAAGCGCACGCACGTGCACGTGACACGCCCGCGCACGACGAGTCCTCCACTTAGCCGGTCCCAGGCTCCCTTTCCCCAGCAGGTCACTTGTCCTCATTCGAAGCCTCTCCCTCCAAGTTGGGTCTGAGGTCTGGGGCCTTCTCCCCGTACCCCTCTCACAGGCTTCCTGAGTCAGTGGGCCCCCTCCAAACCTGGCTTCTGCTGCCACACTTGGACTCTATAATGCCTGAAAAGTTTGGATGTGGGTAGGATGGCCCCAGAATAACCCAGGCCCCTGCTTCCCTCCTTGGATGGGACCCCGGAACGGCAGAGCTGATGTGAGGGCCTCTGGGGCCATCGAGGTTAAGCCGAGGCAGGGACTTGCCCCCGGTGGCTGGGATTTGCACATGGGTCCTTGCTGCACAGGCTATGAGGGGAAGGCAGCGGGCAGGGAGCCCTCCTCCCAGCCCCACCCATACCTGAGCTGCTCTGAGGTCTCTTCCAGGGTGCGCTGGAGCAGGGATATGACCCCTTGCAAGACCTCCACCTCCTTGGCCAGCTCACGATCCACCTCATCGTATACTAGGTCAATCCCAACACGTTGCTCCCTGGCCAAGAGAAGGGTGGAGGCCCTACTGGGGAGGCTGTGATGGAGGAACACCCCTGGCCAGGGGCTCTCACCCAACAGACCTTGTTTCTACTCCACTGAAGCCTTCTGTTCTCACGGAGTCTGAGGACACCCTGACTTCTTCCCCTTTCCCTGGTCTCTGAGCCGACCTCTGATCCTGATTCCTGATTCTCTCTCTCTCTCCCTCTGCCTCTCCCCACTTTATTCTCTCCCTCTCTCCCTCCATCCCTCCGTCCTTCTGCCTCTCCTCCCCTCTCCCTCTCTCCCTTCCTCTCCCTCCCTCTCTCTCCCTCCCTCCCCTCCCTTTCGCCCACCTATACATCAGACATTTCTGGGCAATGTACAAGGGCTCTTGGCAGCTCTCCAGGGCCTTCTCCAATCTCGTCCTAAATGTGAACAGCACTTCAGTCTCCTTTATGAGCTGATCGAGTTTGTCATCCAATTCCTTCTTCCAGAATTTTATTTCATCAAGTCTCTGCTCTACAGGGCACACACAGAGGGTCAGGCAATCAGTGACCAACATTTGAGCCCTGGTTGGCCATCCTAGCAAAGCTGACTCCCTTCTCATTCAATCAGTCAGTCAACCAGCCTTAGATGTGCCAGGCACCAAAGTGAAATGGTCCCTGCTCTCCCTTGGGCTGCTGCCGGCCCCGTAAACCCTCAGTGGTACACTTAGTGCCTAGCTCCTCTCTGCCTCTTTGGTACAGCAGATGCCCGGGGCCAATCCTACTTCCTATCAATACTGGGCTTCCATAATTGTGGGTCCTCCTTTCTGAGCCTTGGGCCCACATGGCCACTGGCCTGCTGGACATCCCACCTGGATGGGCGATCCCACAGAGACACTTGAGGATAAATCCAAGCACACATCTGAGGATGCCCCATGACAGGGGCAGAATCAGGATGCCAGTACTCCCAGGCAGGAAGGCACATTAGAACCCACCTGGCTGTTCTCCGAACAAGCCCCACAAAGGTCCATCCAATTGCCCTGAGCAGCCCCTTCCACTTTATGCCAGAAAATCTGTCCTGACCCCCAGCCTCAGTTAGCCTTCCCCCAGCCCTGCTGGTTCTGCCCTCTGGCTTCAGCCCTCCTCCAAGAGAGGGGACTCCCAAACTCCCCATGCCCTGTTTAGTCCATCTCTCCTCCAGACCAAACCCGTGTGGACCCCCTCCACCTCCTGAATGCCCTTCTCTGGGCCAGACACTCTCTCCTCCACTGCAGCTCCACAGCGCTCCCACAGCAGTGTGGCCAGTGCAGGCTTGACCGAAGGCTGGCCTGTTGCCCCCTCAGGCCTCCACATTCTGAGCCTCTGTTCCCGGGTCACACTTTCAGAGAACACTTCTCGACCTTCTGCAGACAAACTGCGCCTCCCCTGTCTTCTGCTTGGGCTACTGATTTTTGGAATCCTTGAAAACTTACTTCTCTCTTAATTAAGTTCACTCTCGTGTTCTGGCCTGTGCCTTCTTCTTGATTCCGAGGTCTTTAACCTCTAAGCCTAACCTTGGACAATGGCAAGGAGCAGGCCCCAAGGGCTCCAGGTCCAAGCCTCACTCCCCAATTCACTCTGCCCACCAGCGCCCATCAGTCTCTCCACAGAAGGTCTGGAGCAGAGACTCCCTGCTGCCAACCAGGCTGATCCAAATCTGGTCTCAAGCCCCTCCCGCCCCAACTCTAGCTCAGACCTTTCTCCGACTCCTCCCCATGCCCGTGCTCCCACTAACCTCCATTTCTTTTGTCCAGACCATTCACATAATGGCTTGCCGTCCCTCCCCCTATATTCCCCCAGCTGAAATCCCACCTACCCTTCAAGCACTAAGCACAGGCCACCTCCTCCTTCAGGTCACCTTGAAGAGGCCCTGTGCCCTTCCAAGCTCAGCACCAACCCCTGCCAGGGCCTCCCACCCCAGTGGGATTTGGCCATTATTCGGACAGAATGTCAGCTCACTGAGGGCAGGCCCTGCTTCTCTGGAGGCTTTGGTCCCCACATCTGAGTGTGGTGCAGACTGGCGGCAAGCAAACAATTAACCAATGTTGTTTGGCTGATGTTGGCTGATGGATGAAAGAGGCACACTGCCCAGCCCAGCACACACAGTAAATCCTGAGTTTGAATTCAATTCTTGAGAATGAAAAATCAACAAATTAATGGTAAAAATGGGGAGGGGGAGATGATAAAGCCTCCGATGTCCCTTTCGACTCTAAAATCATCTCATTTTATAGATGCAGAAACTCACCACCACCACTACCAGCCATGGCTCTGCACCTGGCTGAGCCCCCCCCC